AAAAATTTGAATGATGAATTTGAAATTGATATAATTTCATCAGACAATAAGAAAAATATTCCTTTTAGTCAAAATAAAGATTTAAATTATTGCAATGTGAATAGAAATCAAGAATTTTAAAATGCTAATTAAATCTGTAATCTTAGATTAAATGATCAAAATAATTAAACAGGCATTGATACTAAATAGTATAAGCAAGAAAAAATATAATAAAATATTGAATAATAATATAATAGTGATAATAGTAGCGATAACACTAATGATGTTGATAGTTTGGATGCTTAATAAAATTAACCTCATTATAATGATAATTAATATAAGGTTGAAAATAAAGATTAAAAATAAGCAGAAAAGATTACAGATAGAGCTTAAAAATAAGCATGGTTAATGAAAATTAGAATGAAAAGACATGAAAATTAAGGTGAAAAGAATAATAATGAAAATTTAGATGTCTTAGAAATTATAAACAATGGTAAGAAGACAGAATCTGATCTTTTTGAATAAGGATTATTTAAAAGAACTGATTATAATGTTTAAAATACATTAGAATAAAAATAGTTTTAATTAAAAAAAGAATAGTACAAATCAGATTTTGAGAGATCTTAACTTTAATCTAATTTAAATAAATCAAATCAAGAATAAAAGTAAATTGATAATTTAGAATCTACTCTAATGAAGAAATAATAAATTAAGAATAATTTAGTTAAAGATGTTTCTAATTAAAAAGAATTATAACAGAATTTGGATGTTAAGAAAATATTTGAAAAAAGATTTGAATTATAGAAAGATAGTTGGGATGTTTCAAAACATATTATTACAAGCACTGAGAATAATATAGATTAAGTAAAAACTCCATTTTAATTACAACCAATTAATTAGCTTTATTAAATTATTAATGGCCCAAATTAAAGAACTATTAATAGTTATTTTTCTCCAAAAAATCCTTTAAATTAACCTCATTCATTTTTATAAAAATAATAAGGAATTGATAATACTTAAATAAAATAATAAAATTAAAATAACAAATAAGAGAAACACAGTTTTATTTAAAAATGTGAAGATGGTTCAATTAAATATAACAAAGATCTTGGAAATTCACTGAAATATAATGGAAAAGATTAATTAAATAATTAGAAAAAAACAAATTAACAAGAAATTAAATAATAATAATATCCAGATTTATCATTATAAAAACAATTAAAGTTATAAGAAGGTGTTAAAAAAAGTCTTCATTAATTAGACTTAAAATAATAATAATAGCCTTAATAATTAACTTAAAGAGAGAAGGAAAAAAAGAAACTTGAAATGTAATTACAAATCTTAGATAATCCATTAATCAAATAATAAGGTTAAAAAGAAACAGAAGAATTATTAAATGAAGATAAACATGAATTAAGATCTATAAAAATAGAAAAAAAAAAAGTTGCTGAATCTTAAAGATTATCAAAATTCAAAATGATGCTAGATAGCAATACAGGAGAATCATTTTAAATTGGAAAGCCTATTTTTGAGTTTAATAGATTACTAAAATATTTGTTCCTTAAGAATTATGATATTCCAGATATATCAGATTAGGAATAGAAAGTTATACCAAATAAATTTGAAAGTGCAGAAGAATACTGTAAAATTTTTGAATATTTATTCTTAAATGAGGCTAGTGCTTAAATAAAATAAGAATTAATTGAATTTTTGAAAAAAACTGAAAAGACAAATAAATATCGTAAAGTATAAATAAAAATTGATGAAAATGATAATGAATCAGAAGGAACAATTTTTGTTATGAGAGGACCTTAAACTAATTAATAATAATAAGATTCTTAAACTGATAATAAATAATAAAAAAGATAAGATGATAATGATTAAAATTAATAAGAAAATTTATAATTTAATTATGATAATATTAAAGATGGAGTATGTGATTTGACAACACATAAAAATTATATTTTTATAATTTCAACAAAAATTAAAATAAAGCTAAGAGAGATTAATTAATTACATGGAGATAATATGATCTTTTTTGGAATATTAATAGACCCTTAAAAAGCATAATATTTGTAATAAATAAGAATATAATCTTTTGTAAATAAAAAAAGTTTAGATTTAAATTAATGGTATAATGTTTTTTTATTTCCATTTTCTAAAATTACAACTTCAATTCGTGAATATTAAATGATAACAAAATTAAATCATAAAACTCCTCTTGCAAATTTAATTTATAACCCAACTAACTCATAATCATTGATTGGTTCAGATATAGGAGGAGGTTGGACAGTTTAATTTTAAAATCAAATATAAAATAAAGAATTATTAGACTCTTTTTTTCAAATTGCTGATTAAAAATATAATGAGACTCAAGCAAATTCAATAAAAGAGATTATTTTAAAAGAAAAAGGAATTTGTTTATTATAAGGACCGGTATTTATTATATTATATTTTTTAAGCCAGGGACTGGAAAAACACATACTTTAATAGGTTTATTATCTGGTGTATATGAGTATATGAAATAAATGAATAAATTTCCAAGGAAAAAAATATTAGTAATTTAATTATAAATTATTATAGATATGTGCACCTTCTAATGCTGCTATAGATGAGATAATTCTAAGAATACTTTAAAAAGGAGGATTATTTGATTCAAAGGGTAATTCTAGATAGGCAAATGTTATTAGAATAGGTTTACTTGATGAAGAAAATGTTCATTCTGATATAATTAAGAAAGTTTCATTGGAAGATTTAGCATAACATAAATTATTTTCAACTTAAAAATTTAATGCTGAATAAGATTAAAAAACTACTGCAGATTTAAGAATAGAATTATGCTAGATTTAAAATCATATTAAAAAATTAGAAAAAAAATTAAATTAACATGGATTACCTAGTGATGAAAGAAAAATAATAAAAGATCAAATAAATTAATTTAATGATTTGAGAAAATCTAAATAAGAATATTTAGATAAAACAAGAGAAAATAAAAAAATTTATAAAGAATTTTATAATTAATTTTGTGAAAAGTTATTAAATGATGCTGAAATTATATGTAGTACTCTAAGTTCTAGTGGATCTGATAAATTATCTAAATATTTAGATTAGATAGAATTATTAATAGTTGATGAAGCAGCTTAATGTACTGAACCATCTAATATCATACCTTTAAGATTAGGGATACAGAAAATGATATTGATAGGTGATCCTAAATAATTACCTGCTACAACATTTTCACCAGTTTCCCATTAAACTTTATATAATAGAAGTCTATTTGAAAGAATACTTGATAATAATTTTAAACCTTATTTCTTAGATATATAATATAGAATGCACTCTGAGATCAGAATGTTTCCATCAGAGTATTTCTATTAAAATAAATTAAAAGATCATGAATCAACAAATATAAGAAATTTACCAATTAATTTCTTTAAAAATAGAGTATTATTTTTAGATATAATTGATGGATAAGAACAGAAAGATGGAACATCAAATATTAATGAATAAGAAGCCTTAATTATAGTCTAATTAATTAAATCTATAAAAGAAGAATTCCCAACTTAAACTATTGGTGTAATTTGTGCTTATAAATCTTAAGTGAGATATATTAAAACATTACTTAAGTAGAAATACACAGATGAAAACTTTTTTGATTAAACAACAATTACTATTAATACAGTTGATTCATTTTAAGTAATGATTAAGAAAATATTATTAGGGTTAAGAAAAAGATATTATATTATTTAGTTGTGTTCGTTCTTCATAAACAGGAGGTATTGGATTTCTAAATGATGGTAGAAGAATGAATGTTGCTTTAACAAGAGCTAAAAATGCTCTATTTATTCTTGGAAATGCTATAACTGTATATTATTTGATTTATTTAGTTATCAAAAAGTGATTTATGGAAATCTATGTTGAAGAATATTTAACAAAGATAGCTATATCGAAATCTTGAGTCATCATAGTTTTAATTTCAATAAGTTTTGAAAAATGAATGGAATGAGGAGAATAAAACATTATCTCCAAAACTTTTAGCCTATCTTAATTAAACATCTTAAGGAAATCATGAAAAATCAACATATAATATTTCAGACTTTAAGATTGAAATAACTAAAAATCAAAAAATTGATCAAAAATAGGACTCTGAAATAAAAAAATAATATAATAAAAATGATGTTAATGATAAAGAAAGTCAATAAAGATTCAAAATTATTGTAACTAACAAAGAGAAGGATAAAAGTACTTCAGAATACTAAATATCTAAATAAATAATAAAAAATCAAGAAAGTCATAATCAATAAAATTAAACTATTAAGAATTATAAAGATGATTCTAAAATATAAAATAATTAATTTCAAAATTCAAAAGACATAAAGGCTGAATAAAATAATAAATATTAGATAAATGCTTAGTTGTAAAATAAAGAGCATTAAAGTTATGAAGACTTTGATTTGATCAGATGCCTACGTGAAGAAGGCTTTTTTTGATAAATGAATTTATTTTCTTTATTGATTACCTAAACAAATTTTTAAAAGTTCTCTCCTGTTCGACAGTGCTTGATAATTCTTTTATTTTATTTGAATTCATTTGAAAACCAAAGTTTAATGACCAACTAGATATTTAAGTTAAAAATTAAATATTTATCTTATCAATAGAAAAGTATTTAAAAGAATAATTAATTAATAGACTTTATAATCATTTAAGAATTTATATATTTCAAGATAAGCTTTAAAGTAAAAATAGAAAGTTCAACTACATGATCAAAATATTTAAATTCTTAAACATTTAATAGTGAAATTTATTAAAACTAAATCTTATAATATAATTTAATGGAATAAGATTAATAATTTGAAATAGTGGGAACATTTAACAATTAGTTATAATAGTTTTCTATTCATATAATTCCTAATATAGATAGTATTAGCATTGTATAAAATAAGTTATGTATTAGATTACTTTAACAGAGTAAAAGTTGTTTGAATTATAATATTCAGAGGAGAACATAAAATTCTAATGGGATGAATAAATGGATAGATTGGGTTTTGCAAACTTTGTTTTGTTATAGATAAAAAATGAAGAATTTAAGATATTTGGGAAGTAGGATAACATACAATGGCTTTTCAACTTGTGTAAAGGAAAATTTATATTTCTATAAAGGAACCAAAATACAAAAAGAACTGTTGTAGAACAGAATGAAACAGGAATTGTATATTTAATATATGTAACCCCAGGTTTATAAAGTGGATGATAAGTGTAATAATGAAGAGGATTATTTTGATAAAGTCCTTTTTTAGAATAAATAGTAATTCGATTAAGGTTTTACTATTCCAGAAGAATTAAGAGTTCTTAAATTAGTTAATCAAAATAAATGTCTCTATTTAATGCGCATAGAGACTATTTAATATGATGGAAATTAATTTTCATATAGTTATAAGAAAAAAAGACTGGACTCATTGAAGTAATTCATTTAATAGACACCAAGTATGAAATTAAGTTAAGTATTAGAGATTATAAGATAACTTTTGTAAGGTATTTATATATATATTAGTTTAAGTAACACATTATTTTGAATCAATAAAGTTAATTCATAACAGATTAGACTTAGACAATATACAATATTCAAAGCAAGAAAATATGATTCAAATAACAAATTTTTCATATTCCTTTTTAGAGAATACTTAACCAATTAAATTGTAAATAAATATGTTATGGAAAGTAGATATCAATAATTTGGTCATGCATCTCCAGAAAGTTTTTCTTAATAATAGTTGATAACTACGGCAGCCAATATTTACTAGGTTGGCATTCTATTTTATATAATGTATAAAGAATTAAAACAATTAGGGTATTTGGGAGTAATCCCTTTGGAAGAAGTTAGGATGAGATTCAAAAAAATAATTATATTGGAAAATTTACGATACCTAAGGAAAATGGATTAACATAGTAAAAATTGACAAAAATAAACGATATTATTTTTGAGATGATTTCATCTATGATGTCCAGAAATCCTTAATAAAGAAAATCATCTTCATATTATCTAAGATCAAAAATCTTTTTGCCATTTTTGAAATAAAAAATTTCTCGAATGGAATTAAAGCTGTATTTTAATGAGATTAAAGAAGATGATACTATTAACAATGAAAACAAATTTATAAACTCCATCTACATTCTTAGAACAAAATTTAAATGACCTAAATAAGTGTTAATAATGAAATTGATTCATTATTGTAATTATCCATAGATAAATATCTTAAATTTATATAATAATCAAATATTATTATTTACTAATGTAAATGGAGTTTAATAATTTATATTAATGTTTTCTAAAAATGATTTAAGTCCACTATAAAATTAGAATTCTAAAAATAAGCTCAATGAATTTGAAGATAAATTCTTACCTTTTAAAGTATTTTTAGAATATAAAAAAGGTTGGTGATCTAGTTTAAAATCGATTTTTTATAAGTCAAAAAATAGGTGAAGGGTCTTTTGGATCTGTATTTAAGGTTAATGATCAAAATAATAATAATATGGCATTTGCTATAAAAATTCAATCTGAAGATGATGAAACAAATTTATTAGAAAGAGAGATAAAGGTTTTAATTGAATTACGGTAATGAAATATAATAACTGTTTATAAAGAAAATATCAAGGGTTTCCATAAATAAAATTTTATGGGTAAGAAAGAGGTTAAACTTATTGTATTATGCAGATGCTAGGATAAAATTTAGAATAAATATTTAAGAAACTTGGAAATGTTATGAATTTAGGTAGTGTTTTGAGATTAGGAATCTAAGTAAGTAAAATATAAGATATTAGTGAATAGATGATTGAAAGAATAGCAATTATGCATTAAAGTCGTTTTTTACATAGAGACATAAAACCAGACAATTTTGTTATAGATGGGCCTAACAATCCTAGATTATTATATTTAATAGATTTTGGGTTATCTAAATATTTTATTGTAATTTATATATTTAAATATAGAATAAAAAAGGAGATCATATAGTATAAGTTAAAAAAGCTGGATTAATTGGTACTGCTAGATATGCAAGTGTAAATGCTCATGAAGAAATGGAATAATCACGTAGAGATGATCTTGAAAGCATTGGATATGTTTTAATCTATTTAGCTACAGGAGTATTACCATGGATGAATTTATAAATAGAAAAAAAAGATTTAAAATATGCAAAAATTAAGTAAATTAAAAAAGAAATTAAAATTAATGAATTATGTAAATCATTACCTAAGGTTAAATAATTTTTAATAATTTATAGTGTTTTGAATAATTTATGAATGATGTAAAATCTTTGGAATTTAAAGAGACTCCTAATTATGAGAAATTGAAATCTTATTTTGAGAATCAGATTGAAATTGATAATAAATTATATTCAAATAATTAATAACCATTTGTTTATGATTGGGAACGTTTGTCTGATTTTGCAAAATAAAAAAAACACTAAACAATTCATGTTATGGAAGTAAAATATTTTATTATTATTTAGAATTAATTAAAAAATTAACAGATTTAAATTGTAATAAATCCACATAAATAAAATTAAGTAGCAAAATAAGAATTATTTTTAAATTAATAAATTATAAACTCATAATAAAATTCAATCTAAAATGAATAAAATAAAATTGATTAAATAATTAATGAATAGAAATAAGAGTAATTATAAATTATAAACACTTCTAGTAATTAATTTAAGACCCATCCTTTCGTTATAAATGTTATTGAAAATTAAAAAGATCAATTATAACCTATAAAATTAGATGAAAGTAGAATTACAAGATTATAAAATCATTCTACTACACTCTTATAAAATCCTCATTTTAATTCATCTTTTTAATTTGATTCATTTATTTAACCTTCTATAGCAACATCTAGAATGAATAATTATATAGAAAGTGAAAGTGTCGTTAGCGAAGGCAATGTCTTACCTATTTGTGATATAAAAGGATCTTAATAAGATTTTTAATAAGGAACTAGAATTTTGGAAGGAATCAGAAAGCCTAGTTAAATTATTTTAAGAAAATAAAGAAAGATTCATTCATGTATTAATTTATATGAATATAGAAATTGATACTGTAAAATAAATGCAAAATCTATTTGTTCATCCTAATTAAATAATTGGTGACAATGAAACATATGTAGAAGGATTAGAATGAAAAGAGAGACATTTATTATTTAATAAAATTTACTAAACTTATATCAATAATTCTAGATAATAATTAATTATAAATATAAAAATCAAGCTTTATTATATAGAGTATTACTAAAAAGAGGACCAAGTTTATTCAATTCTTTTTGAAATAAGTTTCTTTCCTCTTTTTTTCCTTTTTTCTTTTTATTATATTTTAATTTCTCATAAAAGAAAGTAACTTCATTTTCTGTTGCTAAATACAAATTCTTAATATCTTATAAAATAGTTTAAACAAATGAACTAGCTTGACTAATTATTTCATTTGTGATTGGAGATACAATAGTAATTTATAATTAATTATCTTCTTCATTTAAATCAAAAAATGGACTAGATTATAATATATCATTACTCTTAATTAAATCCTTTATAATTAATCCCTGTCTTTTAGGTGTCAAATTCCATACCATAAAATTATAAAAATTTGTAAGTAGTGAATCCTATAGAGGAAGCTTAATTTTATTAATAGCAACTCTCTAAAAATGCTAAAACCATTTAAATTATACAAAAGGAAGAGATCCCTCCTTTATATTAATCATTTAATCCTCTCTTTTTTAATAAGCTCTTAAATATAAGAACTATTGGTCTTAATTCACTATAAAAAGATAACCATTATAATGTTAATTCTGTTGAGATTTATCCAAGATGCCAATTTTATTTAGCTCCTTAATATTAAAAAAAGCTAATGTCTACACTAAATAAATGGGATGGAATTTCTTCATCAGAACTAAATAATCATTTATATTATATACTTTTGAATTAGATCAATATATGGTAATACAATGACATGAGAGGAATCTACAAAAGAAATAGTAGGATCAACTTAAAGTTTAATTAATGGCATATTTGAAGTTGTAATTGCTCTATAGAAAATTTGATATATATTTTTATACCTTATATTTTTGACCCATTTCATTTTTTATAGAAAATCAATAATTTTTTAAATGGGTACATTTAATTAAGTGGATGGAAACAATTCAAATCCTGTTATTCCAATATCAATATCACTTTCTGGAAGGGCTAAACCAGTTGCACAAGATCCAAATAGACGAACAGTAGAATTGAATTCTATAAATATAATATTAAATTATAACCTCTAAAGAGTTAATTAATAACAAAGGAAATTCTATCATATATGATTCTCCTCATTTATAGAATTTCCTAATTTCTTGTTAAATTTAAATCATTAAATTCTCTCATATCCATATCTAATTTTTTAATCATCAAAGTTCTAGCTTAATTCATAATAATTGTATCAATTTCTTCAGGATTATTAGTTTTTTAGAATTCTAAATTATTTTAAGAATAATTCATATTTTAATTATTATTATTATTATTATTATCCAATAATAATTCATCTTAACATAGACTTAACTCTTATATTTAAATTACATGTTTTAATGGTTTAATTAATTAATTTTCATCAACTGTAACTTAAAAAGATTTATTTTATTTAATAATTTCTACATTTTCAGATTATGGAGATATAGATATAGTCTCTTTCTTTTCAGGAGTTAAAGTTTATTAAGAGAGTGTTTCTTAACTACTATTTTTTAAACTATTTCTATTAGAAAAGTTCTCTTTATCTTTATCTTAATTTTAAATATCTTGTTGTTAATAATTAAATTGATTTATCATTTAAGATTTAGGTTTTTATGTTGGAGTTATTTAAGTTAATTAATTAGATTTATTATTTGGATTAGATTTATTATTTGAATTAGATTTTTTGAAATGAAGATCCTAAGAACTAGCAAATTTTCTTTAAGTTTTTTTTCTTTATCTTTTTGGTCCTGTAATTACAACCCAATTATCTTCATCATCATTTTATGTAGTTAAGTCGTTTTGATTTAATTCCATTTCTTAAATCAATTCTGTAATTTTAGTTGGCTCTATAATATTGGTATCTTTTTTATGAAGATCAGCAATTATAAAATCTATTTACTTATTATCAGAACAAGGACTTAAAGTTAAATTATATTATACTTTGAATCTCTATTGCATTCACATTCAATACAATGTACATCATCTTAAGTTGTATCTTATTTATCAGTAATTTCAAAACTATTACATTTATCTTAAATAGATATAAGATTTTTTTAAGAATCATTTTCATTTTTATTTTTTTATTTTTTCTATTTCTTAGATTTCTTTTTTTAATCTTAACTCTTCTTTTTTTCTTTGCCTTCTATTTCTTAAAGATCTTTTACTAATTTTTCTTTAAATTAATCTCTAATCATTCTTAAAACTCTCTTTTCACAAAAAGATGAAAGTGAGTTAAATCTTTCTAAAGGTAAACAATAAATATTATCAAAATTATTATTTTCAAATAATTAATTGATTTCTGTTTCATTTATTTCTAATGATGTTATATTATTATCATATGTATTTTATCCATCATTTTATTAAATGGGTTTTTTCATTAATAATTATGCCCATAAAATATCTTCTTATTTAGTATTTTTCTTTTTAGGAGCATTCTTAAATTCTTTACATATTTATGGAATTTAATGAAGTATTTTTTATTTAAAATCAATATTTTACATCCAATATTTTTTAAGATCCTCATTTTAAATTGAATTATTATCAGTTAAATTTCCTTATTAACTTTAATAATATCTAAGTAATCATATATTAATTTATACATCAATGCTATAGCTTTTTCAAATTCATTTATTACCCAACCAGCACATGTTTAATATGTTTTTGGATTAAACCAAATAGCATCATTTACAATATATTATTTTGCAATTGAATTTAATGTAACCTTTGGTTAAGATGAAAATGCTAATCCATTAGAACATTCAATTAATAAGTTTATGATATCTTCTAAGGATCCTTGTAAACAAAATTTATCGAATATATCATCTTAATCAATGATAAATATTTTAGAAAGTAATTTCTTATCGATTTAATTATCATATGAATACCTATTCTAAATGCAATTTCTCTTCCTCATGTGAACGCCTTTTACGAACTAAACATACAACCTTAATATCTTCATTTATTGATGGAAATCTTATCTTAGAATAACATTATACTTTGGGTTTTCATCTTTTAAAGCATAGCTAGATCTTTCAACAAGCAAATCATGGAGATACATACGCATAATAAAGGTAGTTATCTTTTTCGAATTGACAGCAATCTCATTTATATTTTATTTCTTAACCCTAAAAATTACCACAATTAATAAAATATATATATATCGTAAGAACAAAAAGCAACACTTAGAGCATGCTGCTTCAAGAAGTGATTTAAATCAAATCAATACCATTGAATAAGGTCATTTTTGTAAGTATTCTCAAATGATTCAATTGTTTCACAAGCATGATTGTTGTATTTTGTCAAATATTTAGGAATGTTATAAAGCATGTATATTTGTAATTTTTATAATTTATTAATTATTGTACTCTTTAAATTTACATAAAAAAGCCATGACTTATTTTAACAATGTCTTTTACAACAATATTTAAATATATTCTGGATTGTATTTAAAAAATTATTACTAATGAATTAAAATAAATATATTTCTGTTTTATTTAAGCATTTGATCTAAATTTGTTTACGTAAATTAGTTCTATCTTTTAATAAAGGTTTTAGATTAAGATTATGATCTAATTTATATTTTGAAATTCATATATTCCTATTATTAATTTATTATATTATTATTTGTAAGAAACAATTACATAAATGAAGGGGAAGAGAATAAATAAATTTTATATATAATAATTTTAACAATAAATATATTCATTAATGTCATCCAATATTAAAAAAGATTAAAAGAAAGCTTCAAATCAGTTCTTAGATTTTGATTAATTAGCTCATAAGAAATATCATTATGATCAAAAGAAAGCAAATGATTAATCTATTAAATAAGAATAGTATATAAATGATCTAAAAAAAGCGTAGTTTATTTTAATAATTAGTTATGATTAATAAAAATTAGAGATTGAACCTTTATTTTAGAAAGTTGAATTGTTATAGATAGAAAGAAAATAATTAATGGATGAAATTGAATAATATAAAATGAGTTAGATGGAAATTCTTAAAAAATATGAAACAGAATATTAAGAAAAAGATAAATTGAATAAGGAGTGCACAAAGCTCAAATAATAAATTTAAGCTTAACAGAAGATGTAAATGCCAAAAGAATTTTAAGAGAAATAATGTAATCAATTAAAAGAAACTCTATTTGTTACAATCAAAGATATAATGCATGACTTTTTAGATAATTACAATCTAATGATGGGTTGTGTAGATGAAAATGGAAGTATTATTATATTATTAATATTTTAAGTTTCTGGCAATTTGTTAGATGAATTATTATAATAAATTGATGATTCAATCATTATGTTTGTAAATAATATATCTACTTAATAAACTAAATAATATGAATCATAGGAGATACAACATTTGAAAGACTAAATAGAAAAAACTCTTTAAACAGTATCAAATTTGACTGCTGAAAACTAAGATTTAAGTACAGCATTAGATATTGAGAAATAATATAAAGAAAAAATATTAAATTAAAGAAACACCTAATAATAATTGATCAATCAATTACAAAATTAAATAGAGATAATTAATAATGAGAAGAAATTACTTGAATAATAAATGTAGGAAATTTAAATGAAAAATCTAGAATTTTAACATGATTTAAGTAGAGTAAATGAATTCAAAGATGAAGAAAATGAAAAATTAAAAAATGAATTTATTGATTCAATCAATGAACTTTAAAAATAAATTTCAAAATTATAAATAGAAAATACTAAATTGACTTCATTAATTGAAAATAATACTAAAGATACAGAATTGTTAAAAGAAAAAGTAAGAGAATTAGAAAGCAAATTAAATTAAGAAACTATTAAATTTGAGTAGAAATCCAGAGAAGTAAATGAAATATATAATAATAAAATAGATGATAAGAATTGAAAAAGAATAAACTTAATACAAAGTTGAAGCAACTAAACTATTTGAAGAAAATAGTTATTACTAATAGTAATTAGAAATAATTAAAGAAAAAAGAAAATAAGATAAAGATGTTCTAGAGAAATAAAAAGAAAAATTCAAGAAACTCGAATTGTAATTGTAAAAATCAGAGATAGATTCGTAAACTAAAATAGCCTAATTAGAAGAATAAATTACATAACTTACTTAATTGTAAGAAAAAGATAATTCTACATAATAAATTACCTTACAAACAGAGATTTTAATGGAAAAAGAAATTTAATTATCAAAATTAGATTAACTGGTTACTGAGTAATTATATATGTTATTTTTAGATCTACCTAAAAAATCAATGAATAAAAGTAATAGATTGTAGAAATGAAGATTTAAATTAATACATTAGAATAAGAATTATAATAATAAATACTTACCAATTAATAACATTAAGAAAGAAGGGCAAATGCTTTTAACGAAATAAATCGTTTAGAACAACAAAATTAAATTTAAAAATAAGTAATTCAATTAAAACATAAATTAGCGTATTAATGATTAAGATTTAACAATTAAATAGCTATAATCTGAAGTTTAAGAATTATTCAAATAGATAAATATAAATTCTCAATAAAATCATACACCAAAGCATAATCAAAGCTTTAGTAAAAATTCTATGAGTGATGGCAATAATTTAGATTCATCAAGATTAACTGATGTTGATAGTTCAATCTCTAAGACTGCCAAAGCTGCTTCCATTATATTAAATGGCTTGAATTATTTTAAACTTAGACCTTAAGTCTCTATTCAATAAGTTGAGGATCCAGATAGAAAAATTGCTGAAAAAGCATTATAAAAATAAGCAGGGGATTTGAAATCAAATTTGGAATAATTATACAAAAGTTTCTTGTCAACTTTTATGTAAAATTAAGTTAATGAAGAAAAATTTTTGAAGTTTGAGAGACAAATTAATGAATGTGTTAAAAAAACATAAGATTTACATGACAATTTTGAAGATTTTTTTTGATTTTATGATTAATTTATGTAGATTAATACTTTAAATAATTCTTAAGATATAATAATTGTATAATATAGGAAATATTATAATTTGATTTTTGAAGGAGTTTTAATGATTAAATATATTATAAAAGTATTAGAAAATAATTTGAAAGATAAAGGAAATAATATGTTTTTAAACATATTTCTAAGAATATATTAAATATGAATTAAGATTCTAAAAATTATTCAAATTTTATATATATAAAATGAATGCAAAAATATAATTATTTTTCTAGAATATTATGTAATATAATCTTTTGGGAGAATAAAAACTTAAATTCTTTATTTAAGGTTTGAAATTTTGTAAATAAAATTTACATAATTTTCATTTTTAAGAAACTCAGTCTAATTAGATTTACAATTAAGTAAAAGGCTATGAATTATAAATTTGAATAATTTTCTAGAAATCAAATTAGATTATTGAAACTATTGTTTTTTCTGATTAATATTTGTTATATTGAGAATAGAACTTTATTGATATAAGTTAATTAAAAAATGTATATACGTGTTTTTGTATAATATTAATATCTTTAAATTTAATAAGATGAGTTGCTGTTCATTCATTGGAAGAATTTTGTTGGCTGTCATTTTCATTGGTGCTGGAGTTGACAAATTTATGTAACCACAAAATTCTGTTGGATTGTTGAATAGTAGATATCCAGCCTTCTATAAAAATTTGGAAACAACAGCAAAATAATACAATGTTCCACTTCCAGTTTAATTAGTAAAATATTGCCTTTATATTTTTAGTCACCCACTTCAATCAAGCAATTTTCTAATGAAATCATTTTAGGAGTTGGTGGTGCTGAATTAGTTTTGGGTCTTTTTGTTATTTTGAATTAAGCATGGGCAGGAAAATTATTGTCTTTATTGACATTATCAATTGTTGCTGTAATTCACAATCCATTTATTCATGGAACAACATAAGCGTAAATTTAAAAAACATTTATAAAATAGTGAGAAATTGTCAGAATAAATCCAAGGATTATGGACATTAGGTATTGCTGGTGCTTTATTGATTGTTGGTGCTTCATCATCAAATAAGACTTGTGCTCCAGTAGCAGCAAAATCAAAAGGAGTAACACCAACTGCATCAGCTGCTTCAACCAAAAAAGCCAAGAGAAATTGAGAAATTTAAATAAATATATATGATAATAAGTGCATTTAAAATATTTTTTTAAAGTCATTTTCCAAAAATTAAATATTCAATGGGATTAGATATCAATTTATTAAGAGAAGATAAAGGTGGAAATCCTAACTTAGTGAAGGAATGGTGTTAAAAGAGATTTTAAGATCCAGCTATAGTTGACAAGGTTATTGCTCTTGATCAAGAGTGGAGAAAAGGTACTCAAATTTTTAAAACCTTTCTTAGCCAGATTTAATCTTGATCAACTTAATAAAGAATATGGTATTGCCAACAAGAAAATTGCTGAAAAAAAGAAGGCCAATAAATAAGACCCATGTATTGAAGAAGTTGAATAAGCTAAAGCAATAGATCTTAAAATTAAAGAAGCTTAAAAAGTAAGAAATTAATCTTATAAAAAGATTGAATAAGAATAAGAAAATATTTTAACTAAAACACTAAATAAAATTGGAAATTTAGTACATGAATCAGTACCTGTCTCTAAAGATGAAGCTTAAAATAAAATTGAAATAACTTGGGGTTAAATTCCTAACATACAAGTCAATAGTACTCCAGGTAGATGTCACCATCATGAGATCTTATTTATGATTGATGGTGTTGACCTTAAGAGAGGATCTAAAATAGCAGGCCACAGAGCCTATTTCCTTAAGGGACCAGGTCTCTTATTGAATTAAGCTCTTGTAAGTTATGGAATTCAATTCCTCAATTAAAGAGGTTACACTCCTGTCTAAACACCTTACTTTATGAAAAAAACATGTATGGCAGAAACAGCTTAGTTATCTGATTTTGATGATCAATTGTACAAGGTATGATCAATCTTATAATTTAATAAGGTTACTGGCAATCCTGATGATGAGGATCTATATCTTATTGCAACATCAGAATAACCTATATCTGCTATGTATAGAAAAGAATGGTTAGAGCCTAAAGATCTACCTATTAAATATGGTGGTAGTTCGACTTGCTTTAGAAAAGAAGCTGGTGCTTATGGTAAAGATGTTTGGGGAATATTCAGAGTTCATTAATTTGAAAAGATTGAATAATTTGTTATTTGCCCTCCTGAAGAATCATGGAAATTCCATGAAGAAATGATTACTGCTGGATAAGACTTTGTTAAGTCTTTGGAATTACCTTATAGAGTAGTGAATATAGTTTCTGGGGCATTAAATGATGCTGCAGCCAAAAAATATGATTTAGAAGCATGGTTCCCAGGATATAAGGATTATAGAGAATTGTAATCTTGTTCAAACTGTCTTGATTATTAATCAAGAGCTCTTGAAATTCGTTTTGGTGCTAAAAAGGCTGACGAAAAGGAAAAGAAATATGTGCATATGCTTAATGCAACATTATGTGCAACAGAAAGAACTTTATGTTGTATATTGGAGAATTATTAAACAGAAACTGGAGTTAAAGTTCCTACTGTTTTAGTAATTGATTATAATAATATATTTAGTAACCATACGTTGGCAAGGATTTCATTCCTTATGTTAAACCATTGCCTAAAAAGGAAGATCTAGGTGCATGAAGAGTTATTATATACCATTAATATATTCTAATAAATTCAATTTTCAATTTTTATTGTAAGAATACATTATTAATAATAATTATTTTATTAATTCCTTAAATACTAGTAATATATCATATAGATATAGTATCTTCTTTATCTAATATAATATAAAATATGATTGAAACATATAATTCTTAAAAATAATCTAGGATTAATCACTCATTAAGATTAAAGTCATGAAATTATATGAATTTGCTTTTTATTTATTTATGTTTTTCTTTAATTTGTTGTTTGATGGAAAAATTGTTTTTTATATTAAATAAATAAATATTCATTTATTAGTTGAACTTGAACTTTAACCAGAGTTTTCTTGAAAATTTCTACTCTGTTATTTAAGTATCATATAATCAGCAAGTATCAATTTGAGCCACTTCCAAGTCTATTTAAGTGAAGGTTGTTCACGAAATGAATTGTCTGGATGGCAACTAACCACCATATGCAAAAGAGATTCTATAAATTTATGTTCATGGGAATATTTAGATCTTCCTTAATATAATATTACTTCAAAATTTGCAATTCTTCAGATATATCTTAATTTAATTTATTTGTTGTGATTACTTCTTATTCCAATTTTAATATAGTTTTTTTCAATTCTATATTTATCTTTTGTAATTAACCATTATGCATAATTTCACTATGTAATTTATCAGACATTTGCTACAGTTCCTTATTCAATTCATCAATGTATTTCTAATTCCTATTCGAATTTTTAAATTGTTCTTCTAGCTCATATTTTAAATCCTTGACTTAATTGAGAAGTAATTATTCAACCTTTCTTAACTACACAATGATATCGTTTAATTTTTATATTTCCTAATCTAAATTTTGTTATTGTTTAGGTAATGATCTACTATATGATTTTTTTTAAAGATCAGAATTTTAAGATTTTCTTGCTGTATATGAATCTAAAGACAAATTTGCTTCTGCATCAGTCTCCCTTATGGAATATAACATTGTAATTTTAACGAAATTTAATTATAAATATATTATATTTTAAAGGAAATTATTGGTGTTTATATCACTATCTAAATATGCCTCCCTTTTTTAAGGCATTTTCAGCATCCTTAATGGCTAATAACTCATTATCGTATTATTAGATTAAGGTATTATGTGATGCAGTTCTTAAATTAAATAAAAATAATACCTTTCAATCCATCTATTTTAAGTGGCAGAGAGATTATCTTCAGCTTCAGCCAAATTGAGTCTTGCATCATTCAAAATTGCATTAAGTGCTTTAATTTCTCCATCCTTAGTCTCAATTTCAGCTTATAATAAAGGAATCAAAACATCTCTAATTCCAGTTATTTTAGCCTAGATTTCTGATAAAATGTCTTATTGTAATTTAGATTATGAATCATATTGATTTTATAATGAAGTTTGTCCATCAATCAAAGATTATCTTAATTGATTCATATAGTTTATGACTTTATTTAAGTTTTCTTAATCAACATAATTGTTTTAAGCAATTTATGTCAATGCCTTTACTAATGGTTAATAAAACACTCTCTTTGAAGATAACTATTTAAGACTATAATTATAGATGTATCATACTGATTATGCATCTTTTAAGAAACCTCTTTGATATTGTCAGCCTTTTACAAGAGTGAAGTTTCATCTTTAACTTCATTCAATAATGCAATAGCCTAATCTAAAACTGCAATTGTATCAGCATATTCATTAAATTATCTAGTGAATACAGATTTATCTGAATTGATTTAAGCTTCTTTAGCATTGAATAATTTAGTTGCATCGTAAAGATCTTATTTAGCTTCTGTCAATAGTTATTGTAATCTGCTTCTTTCATCTGTTAAGTCTTTTACGTCTACTTCTAATTAGGCAATCTGAATATATAGGTTTCCAAAATTACCTTGTTTTTGTAGTCTGTTATTTGATTTTAATAATATTGAACATCTGCTTAATATTATTGATATTCTTATTCATAGAATGCATTTTCTTCATTCTTTCTTTCTTTGAAGGATTCAGCCAATTCATCAAGAGCAACAAATAGCTATTGGAAATTGAAGTCTTTTGATGCCACTTCTGATAAACCAACAATAACTGATTGGAATGCATGAACAGATTCTCCAGTTGCTGACAAAATTCCTTAGCTATATGATCATGAGTCTTATATACTTGGCTAATGTCAAATACAAAAGAGACAATGTAATGAATGCTTTCATTTATTTAATTATATATCCGTTTTTATATGTAATTTGATATACAATTATTTATTATTTAATCACTTTGATTTTTCATTCCTATTTAGCATCATTTCTTAATCAACACTCATAATCAAATTAATCTATAATCAAAACACTTGTATTACTTTTTATAAGTCAGAATAAAACATTCCTATAAAAAATGAATTCATCAAATATAAACTATATGACAGTGTCGAATATATTTCGCTAACCATGTTTGCAATAAAATCTTCTGATGCACTTAAACCATCATTTAAACTTGGTTCTCCTTAAGCCATTGGCATTCCCATAAAAATACTAATGAAATTCACCGATATAACTATAATAGATTAATTAAATATTTATTCAAATACAAGCAGTAAATAAAAAGCAAATTACTGTAAATAAAGCTGCTTTTATTTGTTAACTCAAAGAAAATGTTTATAATTGATTTCTGAGTTTAGATGTTTAAGAACCCTATTTATAACACATGTAATAACTGGTGAATAGGAAATTCATTATAAATGAAAATGTTAATAAAATTCTATCTTCAGTATCTAAAATTATATGGATTTCTTATTAAAATACATAGAAAATTAGATTGATTTTTGTATTCAATTGGAAGCAAAGCAAATGCTAGAAATGATAAGTGAGATAGTGCTCCACTTAAGAATATCTAAAATGAAAAGACTTTATGTGGAATCTATCTAGTTGAATATCTCTTTCTTATAGGTTTTGATTGATTGGCTTAAAAAACCAAATAATAGATAATAATTCCTATCAAACTTATTAAAGCATTTCCAATCTATAAAATATAATTTATTAAATATAATACAGTAAATAATTAATTCTTTTAAAAAGGTAACTCTAAAAATAAAGGGAATGTTTGAGCTCTTGCATATTAAAACTGACTCAAAATAGCTGCTGATAAAACTATTAGTGATATTGATAAATATATTGGGGGTAACATCTTGATTTGTTATTTCAAATTTGTTTATGTTTGAAGTGTTTAATCTTTATCAGTTATGCTAATAAATGATTGTTGTTCATCATCTCTTGAAATATCATTCAATATCATAGACAGTCTTGAAAAACGAATAAAATATATAATAATTATATTAAAAATCAAACCTTATAATTCTTATTTTAACTCTTAGCATGGCGACTATAATTTTCCGGGTATTGGCTGTCCAAAGTAAGATTTTTATAACCAATAGATATATCCAATTTTTTACTCTTGATTGTAGACTCTCTCATTTTTGGTCTAATTATATATAATTATGAATACCTGGAATTTGGTATTACCTAATATTATTATAAACTAATTTCAGGTTCATCCTATTCAGTTTTAATTCTGATATCTTGGAAATTCTTTTTCCCATTAACTACTATACTATTATTAATATTTGAATTGATGTTTATGTAATTATTATTGACCTAAGGAGTCTTTTTGTAAAAGGTCCCACCTACGCTATAAATCTACAATGGAATTACTTTTAATTATTCATGTATTTTTATTAAGTAATTTTCAAGATTTATTGAATTTATTTAGATTTATTTTTCTTTTCAGATGATAATGTAGGTGTAGCTCTGAAACCTAAATTTGATGGTGGTTTCGTAATCACACTCTCTCTACCTTAACTTTGACTGGCTGCATTTACAGACAACTCTGTAGGTTTTGTAATTGATGTATTAGATATATTGGTTCCACGTAACTTCTATATTCTAAATTATAAATTTCTTAAACCTGGAAGACTTTAAATTTGGGGCATAGTTAAATTATTTAGTTTTTGTTTGAGATTCATCAACAATCAGATCTGTTAATTTCATTAATCTTTCATTGAGAGCCTTCATAAAATGAGGTTAAGTTGCATCAGTCAATCGATCCAAATTATCACAATTTAAGTTATAAGTTGAAACATCTTTTAAGGATTGCAAAGATGTATCCGATGAGGATTCATAGTTCTCTTTTGGAAATTTGAATGTGTGATTAATTTTACAATTCTTATATCTAGAATTTATATAGCTTAATAAATACTTCATTTCTATTTCAAGTTTGAAATCCTCAACTTCAGAATCTTCATCTGGTTATGTTTTCATAATCAATTCTGATGGCACTTATGGTTTAACAATTTTCTAAAATATCAAATATTTCATCAAATCTTTATCAATAATTTTCGGTTATTAAACTTGTGGACTTTTAGACTTCTAATTTCTGTTGGACATAAATCAAAAAATTAATAATAAAAATAAATTATAAGACAAAAATCAATATTACCTCATTAGCATATTGAATTATTCATTTCTCTCCAAATCCTTATTAAAATAGTCAATCAGTACTATTATTATCTATGAAAATTACTTATTTTATTGAAAGTCATATGGAATTGTATTTTTATTCCCTTTTTAATTGAATTAAATTAAAAGTACTTTTATATTTTTCTATTTATCTTACTCATACTATAATTATGATTTTCTTTTTATATTAATTAGCAAATGTACTTATGATTGTAAATTATAAACTCTTAGATTGTAAAATGTTACTTATCCTCTGTGAGAACTACTTATAAATTTCTAAAATTATCTATTTCTTTAACAAGTAATAATCAATGTTTTAATATAAAGAGCAAATCTATAAATTTTTCAAATTTTTTCTTCATTTTCTCCTCTTAAATTTACTAAATCAATTCTTTTTGATTGGCAAATTAAAATGCTTTAATATAATGATACTATTATCTATAATTATTCTAATTACAATTTATTTAAGGAATAATTAATAATACAATAGATGGAATATATTTACAGTTTTATGTTTTTTTAATCTCTATTTTTGTTATTCATTTAGATATCATTTCAATGGCAACATCATTTTATGTGCCTTTAACCATTTTCAATTATTTAAATAGATTAAGATCTCACAAAGTGTTAATTTATTTTATCCTTTAAGCAATTATTTTCTCATTAATATTTATATTTTAGATATTGAAATGTTGAGTGGTTTATTGTACAGTCCTAATTGGACATTTGTAGACAAAATATTAAGAGACCCTCAATTAGTAGATCTTGAATACTTTGTTGGAGGTGGACCAGGACATGATTGGTTAGCAAAGTCAGTTAGAGTAGAGCAATAAAAGTAATAATTTTAATCATTTTTATAGATACTTGGGTCCAAGAGCTAAATTCGAGAGATAATTTAATGAAGAGCCAAAAACATGGGAAGTCATAACAGACAACTTGTATCGTTTAACATTACTTGCTGGAGTTGAGAGATTACTTACATTAAGACAAGCATATGGTGGTTTAAAGACAAGATTCACTTTTGGAGATTCAAATACGTATAATGTTTATTTAATATATGAATATAGAGCATGTTTACAATAGATATTCAATTAAGGATTATTTAAAGGATATTTTAGAGGAGCTTTATTGAATGCTGCTCAATTCTTAACTGTATGGGCTCATCCATTAGTATATAGTAGAGGTAATGGATACATCTCTCATTATCTTTATTCTTCTTTATTTGAATTAATCACATATCCAATTGATACAATTAAAACAATCATTTATTCTGATGTTCAAGGTAGATATAAAGGAGCATTTGATGTCATTGAATAAGTAAATAATAATGATAAATAGGTTTATGCAAGAAATGGATTCAGTCATTTTTATAGAGGAATAGTATTTAAGTTAGCTTTCAATGGAACATTGATTTATCATCTTAGAAATATTTATGAAGAAGACTATATTCAATAAGTAAGTGTAGTCGTAAACATAATAGTTAGTATCAGTTCCATTACTAGCTATTGGTTATGGATTTTTGACAATAAAAACAAGGTTGTAATTGGCAAGTACTGATTTGAGTTTCTAAGAGACTCCATAAAAGGGAAGAATAGCTGCAAATCTATTTGCCTAAAAGACTCCATTCAGTATATATAGAGGAGTAATTCCATTCTTGTTATTGACTGATTTCTTCCATTACAAATTATATGCACTTTACTCATCAACTGCTTAAGCAAGAACATTGGATGAATTCCTTGTTTAATATAAGCATCGTATTGGAAGTCCAAAACATGAAAATTTATGGCAATGATTATTAAATAATAAATAAAATAAAATATTCCACATAAATTTGATAATTACTTATTTGATATTTTAATATTTTGTTTCATCATAATATTCACTTCATTAATTTCCATTTGAATTCATAAAATTAGTGTTAATGATATTATAATTCATTGATAAACAAGTTAATTTATTTTATATATGAATTTAATACATCATAATTTTTATTCACGAAATTTAAAATTTTAAATAATTTAAAAATGGAACAAACCTATACATTTACAATTGAATCAAAGAAATAAAATATAGATGCTCTTACTGAAGAATAATAATAAGAATACAAAGCTCATGCAGAGGAATGCGAAATTATTGTCTTAAAAGGTAATAGTTACTCTAAACAATTTTTCAATCAATTCTCAGAGTTCATCACAACCTCCAAAAAATTACAAGTATTTAAAATTAAAAAATTAGAAAATTAATGCAAATGACATCTTTGTTGGAAAAGGAAAAGATGAAATTCCTTAATCATTATAGGTATTATTGAATTCAATATTTTAGATCTTAGGAAATAGCTTAATAGGATTAAATATCTTAAGTCTTGATTTATCCAACAATGCTGTAAATCCATTTGGAGCAGAGGCATTAAAACCATTCCTTAAATAAGCTCATTAATTATAAAGACTTTTCCTAAATAATTGTGGTCTTGGAATCAGAGGAGTAACTTAAGTCTCAGAAGGATTATAAGAAGGAGAACACAATTTATAAATATTAGCTATAGCAAGAAATAGAGCTGAATGTGATGGTGCAATAGAAATATCTAAAGCATTTCCAACATGCAAAAAACTATAAGAATTGCATATTTATTAAAATGGAATTAAATAAAAAGGTATGATGGAACTATTATCATCATTAAATAAAAACTGTTCTGAATTAACAACCATTGATATTAGAGATAATTTTGTACATGAAGCAACAACATAAGTTTTAAGTGATTTAATATCAAATTCTACTCATTTAACAGCCATCAACATATCAGATTGTAATATTTAAGGAAAATAGAATAAATAAATATTGGAGTCTTTAAGCAAATTAGTTAAAATAGAAAGATTAGGTTATAATTATGCTGAATTAAATGATGTTTAAGGAAATGAATTATATGAAATTATTGTTAAATAAGTTGATAATGTTTCAGTAATGATTTTTAATTATTTAAGAAATTGGAATTGAAAGGAAATGAATTCAAAAAAGCAACAAAATAGAAATTTAAAGAATTATTCGTAAATAAAGAAAAAGTTCTTGGAGCATTCGATAGTGATGATGAAGATGAGGAAGAAGCAGATGAATTGTAAAAATTATTCAGTCAATTGGTTATTTGAAATTATGAATAACAGTGTTAATATGTTAAATAATTTTAAATATCTTTTTTATCTCAGCTTATCTATATTTCATAAATTATTCAGATTCTTAAATAAAAATTAACTAAAGAATCTTTATAATAATGATTAATAATACATAAAATTATATTAATAATTTAAATAAGCCTCATATAATTTTATGATTTTAAAGGTATATTAATAGATGAATACTTTTAATATTTTTTTGGTTCATAAATTATTGATTTTTCTAACTTGAAATAAAAAAAAATTAAGATCAATTTAATTTAGAAATCTCTCTTTTATTTTATCAATTCTTTGAATGATCAAATTATTTCTATTAAAAGTTGTTCTTTATAATATTTAATCATTTTATTCGTTATATTATTAATGAAATTAGAATTAATAATCTAAGCAGATTGTTAAGTTAAGTTAGTTAATAAAATTGGTATTATATTATTTAAAAGTGAGAACTAATAGAAATGTTACAGAAAATGATATATAATTTTTGAATTTATTCTAAAACTTAGTTTGCGATATTTATTTGCCATATGGTTAAGTATTACATTTTATATTTACATTTTCATATATTATAATAATAAAAAATGGATAACCAATCTAACTCAAAATCAAAATTTTGTCCTCACAATGAAACTGATAATAAAAGATCTTTTTTTTCAGAGGATGAAGCTGACATAACTCCTATGCTTCCTTAAATAGCTAAACCTTCTAAATTTTCTAAGGGGGATACTCTTCCCTTCTAAACTGATGATTCAGATAATACTCCAAAATAAATACATACTCCTACATCACCAAAAGGGTAAAATAAGTTATCTAAGTTCAAATAGAAGGATCATCATATTGAAAAAGATTCTGATATATAATTTGATTCTGAAGAGGAAAAAAGAAAAGAAGAAACAAATAATTTTACTACTAATAGTAAGACATTTAATGAGAATGAGGGAATAGAAAATTAATTCTAATAAAAATGTTCAACGCCTAAATTAAGTCATTTACATCCACTAATTTCTAAATCTAATTCTTCAAAACAAGTTGTTTAAAGCAAAAACTTTAATATAAAAGATCATCCATTTAAGCATCTTATTTATGGAAGACATGTTAATTACAATACTTTTATGAGATTCTTATAAATTGTATAAAGTGGTTTGGTTTATGCTTGTAATTCATTAAAAGGTCCTTCTGACAAATTTTTGAAAAGCAGATTTGTCAGACTTAAAGAATCCAATAATAGAAAATAAAAAATCTTAGTATTAGATTTAGATGAGACATTAATCCATAGTTGCACACATAGAGATTTCCCTCATATCACAATTACAATTCAAGATGATGATGAATCCATAGATGTATTTATTCTATTTGTAAAATTTAGATAACATTTAATGTAAGACCATATTGTAAAGAATTTATAAAGGAGATGTCAAATTACTATACAATTTATTTATTTACAGCCTCATCAGAAACATATGCAAAGGCTATAGTAAATCATTTGGATCCAAAACGATAATACATCACAGATATTTTATGTAGAAATAATTGTTTTGAAACTAAAAATGGTTTCTTCATAAAGGACTTAAGAATAATTACAAATAGAGACTTAAAGGATATCGTAATAATAGACAATCTACCACATTCTTTTGGATTATAATTAGAAAATGGAATTCCAATATTAGAATGGACTTAAGATCCAAAAGATGAAGAATTAAAATATTTATAACAATATCTTATTGAATTGAGTAAAAAAGAAGATGTAAGAACATGTAATAGAGAGAA